AACTCCAGCTCATAAAATTTAGACACAAGTTTGGACTCCCTGCCACACTGGTTGCAGCTAGGATGAAAAAAAAAAAGAAAAAAGACAAAAATGCATGAGACAAGTTCACTGATTCATTAACTCCCCAATCATTAACTACTCCTTGAGCTATGTAACTAGGAGAAAAACATAAGTCAGAGCTACTATGGTACAGACATCTACAGAATGCTGTGCAAGATGGTGTGCACAGGATAACATCTACCTGGAAAAGGAGCACCTGCTTACAACTCTTATATAGCATTCTCCATCAGGTGATTTTTGAGGTGAAACCCACAGCTCTGAGGACTCAGGAATGAATCGGGTACAACAACACCCAAGCACTCCATTTTCTGTCTCGAGGACTTAACGTTCCATTAGCTCACTCGCACATTTAATTAGTAAATTTTCATTAAAGGATTGAAAACATCTGGCAAACTACAACAACAACAGGCACATAGAATCTGGAAACCTAAAAACTGAAAGCCTCTTGCACAACATTTCATGAGATTACCTGCCTGCTCCAGCTGTTAGAGATCTTGTCCCCTCAAGTTCTTCTAAAATGTTTAAATATTTACAGAAAAGTTCTTCCCAAAGACCACATACTTACACTGTGACATACGCATACTCTCCACAGAACTGCTTTTGTACGATGTTTCGAACATCTGGATTTTTTTGTTTGGATAAAGTATCTTCCAGCAGTGACATGAACAGCTTTGAAAATTCCTGGGCATCCTAGAACAGAAAGCCAAGCCGGTTAACAATACCCCACAGCACAAAGCGCAATCACAGCCTCGCTGCTAATTTACTGCAAATTACACACAGCCCTACACACAGGCTGCACGGAGACTTTGGCGTGCACTGAATAGAAAAAGACCAGTCAGGAGAACTAAAGAAAAGAGGAATTTGCCTAAAAGGAGCACAAGGCCCCCAGCGTGAGACCACAGCATGAACGAAGCTGGCTCTCGGCCAGCAGCTTGGGGTGGTTTTGACTTCTGCCCCTGCTGCTCGCAGGGTTCTGGATGGGAAATAGCGGCTTGTTAACCGCGTAAATCCCTTCACAACTCCACCTGGTGCATCGACAGCGGCTTCTGCTGCCCAGACGTGACAACACAGACCATTCCTCTGCCCTCATTTGATCACAGCTGCATTCAACAGGTCTACACCACCTCAAAGAGCATGCAGAAGTAGCTTGCAGAGCATTAATCATCCTCTGCCACAGCACAGCCTGGTGGGAGAGTCAATCTCTCCAGCCTACCACTCCTGCACGGTTTTGTCCCATTAACACTTATTTTTCAAAGCCTCGCCATGCCCCTGCTTGCACCACATGTGAGAAGGAAAAAATAAAAAATAAAAAAAATGAGAAGCTGCTCTCTGACTTTGCCCCCTTCCTCCTGCAAGGCCCAGGATCTTCTCCACACGTTTCGGGGACTCCCCCTCCTCCGAACACCCTGTTTTCCTTGCTCCTTCTCCTGTCCAGCCTTGGCACCAAACCCCAACCTGTTCCCCTCTCGCTGCCTGACAGTGCCTCTGCTGTTGCCCTGCAGCTCCTCTCTCCAGTTCCTACCATTGTCACAGCCCAGCAGGGCACGCTGCTGTCCTGGAACGTCACCAGTCGCTAACAACTGCTTCCTTCCCAAGGAACAAGGAGCAACTTTCCCCTCGCTTATCATCCTGAGGAAAGGCGGCCAAGCACTCCCACACTTCCTCCAGCTGCCCCCCCTTACTTCCCAAGCTGTATTTTCAGGCAGCGCCCTTGTCCTGAGCCCTCTTCAGCTTCTGTGACAGTCCTGCAGGAGCTGCCTGTGGGGCTCACCCTTCCCAAAAAGTGCTTTCTCTGCCCTGCAGACTGCCAACAGCTTCTCCTCCTGCAGGAGCCCTCCAGGCCTCAGCCCCTACCTAAGTGTGCAGCACAAAGCCCTTTGCAGAGCTCCCCAGACCCGGGAGGAGCAGCCCATAAAGGACCTGTCGAGAGAGCCTTGTGGCAGCTCCAGCTCCCACCCCACAGCCTGCTCTGCAGTGCTGGAGCTGATCAGGCGCTAACAGCACTCATCCCCTTGCTGCGGGGCTCCTCCTGACCTCCCACCCAGGCAGGAAGGGCCCTGAGCACTGCTCCTCCCTTTGTGCTCCTACAAACAGAGCCGGGCACCAGGTCCCAGCTCAGAGGTGCTAAAGCAACAAAAGGGTAGTTTCACACTTCTTTAGAAAAGGGAATTACAAGCCCAACTCAAGCCTACCTGCTGCTGTCCTGTATCCAAACCCAGCGCTTTGACGAACCCAGAAGGATCGATGTACCGTCTTTTGCTGTTCTGCAGCAAGGCGAACAAGTACTGGAGATGTTCACAAATGGTTTGAGGCTCATAGTCTATAGAAAAAATAAAAAAAGTTCAAGTTACAGCCAGTTCTCGAGAGAAGAGAGACCTGTTCAAAGTAATTTGTTTGTTCTTTGTTCAGATAAGTTTAATGTCCTAGAAATTACCCTTTTTTCCTGTTTTAAATTATAGTGAGATTTGAAGCGGTTAATGTCAGCGATGACAGCTAAGTCCCAGCACAGGCCAAATATCCCACAGTGCCGAACATGAGCTGCTACTCAACAGCTTCAGCAACATGCGCCAGTTACCACAGAGCAGCAGCTTCTTATTTGAAGCCAAACAGCAAGACGCTCTTCCTGAAGTACCATAAAGCAGGACCAAAGAAGTCAGGCAGCTCAGAACACACCTCCAGAGCCGCACCGCACAGAAGGTGTGGCACCAGAGCCCCTCGGGGACGTTGTGCAGGTGCCAGAAGTCTCAGTTGTACCCAGCACCTAAACCCTTGCCCTCCTGTGGGACGCAGCACAGCTCAGCCAGCCCCAGCCTGCGCGTTCCCATCCCAGCGCCATCCCTAAGCTGGGAACCAGTCCAGCAAAGAACGAAACCAAAACAAGCTTTGAGCCAGATCAGATCACTTTGGTTTGAAGTAACTCAGGCAAAGGATGGCTTAGCTTGACTTGTTCCTAAAAGCTGAGTGAAGGACTCAAAAAGAGCAGCACAGAGGTCGTACGGGCAACGGTAGCACCAGCCATAGATTCCCACGGTAACACTCCTCCAAAGCCAACACCTCCACGTAAGGTTTTAGGAGAAAAGGAGCAAATCCTCCGTTCGCAGCAGGGAGAGGCACAGCGATGCGCTCCCACTGACCTTTGTCTTTTGGGACGCCCTCTCCGGCCGTGTGCTCGCTGCAGGTACTGGGACACAAGTAGAGGGCCTGCCGGAGCTCCAAGTTGAGAAACCACATCTGCAAGAAAGTGTTCACGTAGCACGTGGCGCCGAGGTTCGTTAAGCCCACGAACGCGTTCTAGCGTGAGAGAGAAAGCAACACTTGTCACTCGCTGCGGCCCAGGAGCAAGCGGGGGCCTGGCAGCCGGAGCACCGGGGGGGGGGGACACACACACACGGGGTGTCACCTCCCCCCCCCCGTCCCCAGCTGGGCGCGGGGCCGCCCGTTACCTTCTTGCGGCGCTCGCAGTTGGGGTCGTCGATGTTGTGGAAGCTGTTCTCGTCGATCTCGCCCAGCCAGACGTGCTCCCCGATGCCCACCAGGCAGTTGGGGTTCCCCCGGCAGTTCCTCCTGCGGGACCGGCACCGGGCACAACCGTCAGCGGGCGGGGAGGGGGCTGGGGGGGGGGGGGGGTTAAGGAGGGGTGAGGAGGGGAGGGGGGGGCACGGGGAGCGACCACCGGCACCGCCCCGGTGCTACGGGGGCAGCCCCAGCGCTGGGGGCCGCTGCCAACAACCGCCGGGGGACTGGGGGGGGCTCGGGGCCGCGCAGCGGGGGGAGGAGGAGGAGGAGGAGGAGGAGGAGTGGGGGGGGGGGGGGGATGAAGGCCGCAGGGGCCCCGCGGCGGTACCGGCAGGCGCCGCGCTGGCAGGGCTCCAGCCCGACGCGGTAGGCCGCCTCGATGTGCTCCTGCGCCACCGCCTCGGGCGGCACCGTCTCCGTCCAGCGCCAGGCCGCCTTCTCCAGCTGCAGCCGCGGCGCCATCGCCGCCGCCACCGCCCCCGGCCCGGCCCCGGCCCCGGCCCCGGCCCCGGCCCCTCCCTCCCGCCGCTGCCGCCGCCGCCGCCGCCGTCACGGCCGGTGACGTCACGCGCGCGCCGCGCTGACGCCCGCGGGCGCGAGGCGCTGACGCCGGGCGCGCGCCGCGAGACGCGGGGGGGGCGGGGCCCTGCCGAGCGGCCGCCATTACGCGGCGGGTGGGGGGGGCGGCGGCAGGGCCCGGGTCTGTGCCCGCACGGCCCCGCCCCCTGTACACAGCCCCTCAGCGCCCACATCCGTGCCCCCCGAGCCCCTCCCCCGCACCCCCTCAGACCCCTACGGCACCCCAAAGCACCCGGGTGCCTCCGCAAGTGCCCACAGTCCCCCCCCCAAAGCACCTGTGTGTGTGTCCCAAAGCACCTGTGTCCCCCCCCGACCCCCACACCACCCCAAAGCACACGGCCCCCACCACATCCACCCCAAGGAACCTGCCCCCCAGACCTTCCCAGACCCCTATCCCCCCCAAAGCACCTGTGTGTCCCCCCCGCACCACCCCAAAGCACCTCCCCCCCCCGACCCCAAATATCTCCACACCACCCCTAAAGCACCAACCCCTCCCCCCCCCAAACCCCGTGCCCACCCCTCCATGCCCCCCGAGCCCCTCCACGCACCCCGGCCCTCCCCGGACCCCCTCAGACCCCTACGGCACCCCACAGCACCCGGGTGCCCCCCCCAAGTGCCCACAGTCCCCCCCAAAGCACCTGTGTCCCCCCCAAAGCACCTGTGTGTCCCCCAAGTGCCCACAGCTCCCCCCCAAAGCACCTGTGTGTCCCCCCCGCACCACCCCCCCCCCCAGACCCCCCATATCTCCACACCACCCCTAAAGCACCAACCCCCCCCCCCAAACCCCGTGCCCACCCCTCCGTGCCCCCCGTCCCCAGGCGCAGCCCCCCCAGACACACTCGGGCACTGGTTCTCTCTCCTTTAATGGGTGTCCCAGCGCGGGGGGGCTGGGGGGGGCCCAGTGCCCCCTCCAGCGCCCAGGATTGTCCCTTGCGCCCCCCACCCCGGTGCCACCCCAGGAGGCACCCGGGCGGCCCGGCCGCCCCAGCACGGCTTGGGGCGAGGGGGGGGTGTAAACATTGGTGTGGGGTCCCGGCCCCCCCCAGAGCCATCCCGGGGCAGCGAAGCACCGTTTCCTCGTGGCTTTTTGGAAAATAATAATAATAATAATAATAAATCCGACAAAACTCGCTCTCCCCGAGCCTCTGGGGGGCAGGGGGGGGCTATGAGGGGCAGGGGGCAGCGGGGGAGCCCCCCACCGCGCCGTGCCGCAGGTCGATGGGGTGCGGGGGGATCCCTGCAGACGCCAGCAGCAGCCCCCGCACGCAGCCCGTCACTCCGGTGAGGAACTTGCCGGCCGTGAGGCTGCGGGGGTCCGGGGCGCCGCCTGTGGGATGGGGCCGCGGGGGCACACGTGGGTTGGGGGGACGTGGGGCGCACCGCTGCGCTCACATGGTGTTACATCCCGGGTTCCCATCCCGTGCCCCACGCCATGTCCCCTTCCTGCCCCGTGTCTCATCTTGTGCCACACCGTGTGTCCTGTCTTGTATCCAGTCCACGTCCCGTCCCGTGTCCCATCCCATGCCCCCGTTGTCCCACCAGGTGTCCCATCCCGTCCTGGGTCCCAGTGCCATGTCCCAAGTCCCACCGTGTGTCCCATTCCGTGTCCCACCCTGTGTCTGCCACACACCCCATCCTGTACCCACCCCGTGTCCCACCCCATGTCCCATTATGTCCCATCCCAAATCCTGTCCTGTGTCCTGTGCTGCCTCCCATCCAATGTCCCATCCTATGTCTGCCCGTGCCCTGTCCCATCCCGTGTCCCACCCCATGCCTCATCCTGTGCCACATCTTGTGCCCCATCCTATGTCCTACCGTCCCCCATCCTCTGCTGTCCCATGTCCTGTCCCACCCTGTGTTTCACCCCATCTCCCCTCCCATGCTGTCCCAGGTCCCACCCCATGTCCTGTCCCATGTCCCACATCCCGTCCCATTTCCCATCACATGCCCTGTCCCATGTCCTGTCCCATCCCATCCTGTGCTCTGTCCCATGTCCTGTGTCCTACCCTGTGTTCCACCCCATCTCCCATCCCATGCCCCACCCCACATCCCACCCCGTGTCCCGCCCCATCTCCCATCCCACATGCCACCCCGTGTCCCATCCCACGTCCCACCCTGTGCCCTGTCCCACATCCAGCCCCGTGTCCTGTTCCACCTCCCACCCCACGCCCCATCCTATGTCCCATTCCCCGTCCCTGTGTCCCCCCATTCCTCTGTCCCGCCGTGCCCCATCCCGTGTCCCCCCATCCCGTGCTCCCCCATCCCGTGTCCCCGTACCGATGTAGATGCTGCCCTGGGTGTTGGCCATGACGTTGGCTCCTGGTGACTTCCCGTGCACCGGCTCCTCGCCGTCCACCTGCAGCCACCCGCGCCGGCCCTGCCTGTGGGGAGCCATCAGCACCCGCCCCCCCCCCAGCCCTCCCCACCCCCCCAAGTCCCCGGTCCCCACCTCGTTGCTGTCACCCGGTGCCACTCGCCGTCGTTGACGGGGTCCTCGGAGACGATGACGGCCTCGCCGCTGCCCAGCTGGTAGCTGCGGGGGACAGGGGCTGAGCAGGGGGACGCGCGGTGGCACAGGGTCCCTGGGGACGCGCGGGTCCCCGCTCACCTGAACACCAGGTGCCCGTCCTTCAAGCCGAGCCCCACGAAGTCTTTGGCTTTGCCGTTCTCCTGCGGGTACAAGGGGGCGGTGAGCGCGGGGGGGATGTCCCCGTCCCCTCCCCTCCCCGGGGGGGTGTCCCAGCCGTGTCCCCCTGCTCACCGCCCCGTGCCACAGCAGCAGCCCGTCGGCGCTGTCCGTCCGCAGCTCCAGCTCGATCGCCTCCTGCGCGTCAGGCAGGCTGCAACGAGACGGGGCCGGCCGTGGGTGCAGTGCCCGGGGAGGGCACAACGCCACAGGTGCAAGAGTGCAACGGGTGCAAGGATGCAACGGGTGCAAGGATGCAACAACGCAGGGGGTACAGGACTGCAGCAGGTGCAACGAGTTCAAGAGTGCAATGGGTGCAACAATGCAGCGGGTGCAATGACAATGGGTGCAACAATGCAACAGGTGCAGCAACGCAATGGGTGCAATGATGCAATGGGTTTAAGAGTGCAATGGGTGCAACAATGCAATGGGTGCAATGATGTGATGGGTGCGACAATGCAATGGCTGCAAGCATGCAATGATTGCAACAGAGTACAATGGGTGAGATGTTGCAGTGGGTGCAATGATGCAATAGTTGCAACAATTCGACGGATGCAACACAGCAGGAAGAGTGCCAAGTCCTGCTGGGTGCAGTGCTGCAGGAAGGCGTGCAATGCTGCAGCAGGTGCAAAATTGTGGTGGGCACAACGTTGCATGGGTGCAATGCTTCAGTGGGTGCAATGCCACGGGCAGGGTGCAGCACCCCAGGCCTTGTCCCCCAACACCACTCACCCGCGGGGGAAGAGGTGGCCGGGCAGGGCCAGGTAGGAGCCGTCACGGAAAGCGGCACTGAACTGCCCAGGGGCATCTGCGGGGAGATGGGGTGAGAGGGCACCACTGAGCACCCCCGCACCAGCATCGGTTTTGGGTTCAGAAAGGGGGAAAATGGGTGCACGGCACCCCTGGGGACCATACCACCGCCCCCGCTGCCTTCCTGCCAGTCCCGGTCCAGCTCTGACAGCGCCGTGCCTGCAGGCGAGAGGGTGATGGGGACAGGTGGCATGTTCCCACGTGTCCCCATGTGTCCCCCGTACCTCCCCACGTCCCCACACTCACTGTGCTGGCAGTAGGGGCCGGTGTAGCCCTCAGGGCAGATGCAGGCGTTGCCCTTGCAGGTGCCTCCGTGCAGGCAGGGGTTGTGCTGCAGGCACCGGTCCTCCGCCCGCTCGCAGAGCTGCCCTGGGGACACAGCGGGTGGCACAGGGTGACACAGGCACACGGGGGTGGCTGGGCACCTCCTGCACTCGCTTGCCCCCCTCTGTTCAATACTCCAGGGTGATCCCTTGCACACACAGTGCTCACGCACACATGTAGCAAACAAACACATGCAGAGTGCACGTGTGCATGCAGACACACAGCACACACTCATGCACACAACGCACGTAACTGCACACTCAGTGCACACACATGCAGTGCACCCTCATGCAAACACATGCACAGCACACGTCCATGCATATCAAATGCACACCCACACATCACATCGTACATGCAAAGAGCACACACACAGCCTCAGCACATGCAGATGCTCACAGCACGCCCTGCACAAACATGCGTACAGATGCACACACTTGCAAACTGCACGCACATGCACACAGTGCATTACATGCAGAGCACATTACACATGCACATTACATGCAGAGCAGAGGCACAGTGCACACGCTTGCAAAGCACACTCACAGCACACGTATGCAGTGTACACGTGCATAGCACTCATTGCACACATGCACACTGTATATGCAGGCACGGCACATGCCTACGCAGCACACAAACATGCACAGTGCACAAGTGCAGCACACACAGCTTACATGCACGCACTCCAGATGCACACAGCACACGCGTGCAAACTCCACGCACACAAACACAGCAGATGCATGCAGCACAGCATGGCACACACACGCACATGCTGTGCACACCCAGATGCACAGAGCAGGTGCCTGCAACCAGCAGGTGCACGCACACACGTTGCCCCTACCACGCACCCCTTGAGCACCCCCAAACCTCCCAAATTCCTCCCCACGCTCACCGCTGAAGCCGGGGGGGCAGAGGCAGCGGAAGGGGGGGCTGCCGTCGGGCAGGGGCAGGCAGCGGCCCCCGTGCAGGCAGGGTGCATGCAGGCAGGGCGAGCTCTGCCCGCACTGCCCCACGCCCCGGCTCCGCAGGAAGCTGTAGGACAAATCCACCTTCTTCCCATTGATGGAGACCTGCAGGGGACAGGGGGAAGGGGGGGTTAACCTGTGTGTCCCCCCCACCACTGTACAGGGTGTGTGGAGGGGGGGCCAGGACTCACCTCGCCGATGCAGCCCTGGAAGGAGGCGTTGGTGGGAGGCTGCAGGGGGGGCTCCACGCCCCCCAGGTAGAGCGGGGAGCGCAGGTTGAGCCCCTGGCTCTTGCCGGGTGAGGAGCGCTGCACCGGGGCGCCGCCGTCCACCACCAGCGTCCCGTCCTTGTGCACCCGCTCAGCCATCACCCGGTGCCAGCGTCCCAACGCCACCGGCTCAGCGCTCCGCAGCACCGCTGGGCCTGTGACACCACACGTTGGCACCGTGCCTCGGCCCTGCTGCCACCCGCTCGGGGTAGAGGGGATGGGGATGGGGACGGCAGGGGGATCTGGGGGTGCTTGGGGACCCTGGCAGTGCTTGGAGACCCGGAGCGATGCCCTGGGTGATGCCAGGGAACTGCAGGGTTATTTGGGGACCCCAGGGATGCTTGGGGACCCAATGGATATGCTGGGTGATGCCAAGGGACCCTGGTGATGCTTGGGGACCCCAGTGGTGCCAGGACACCCCTGGTGACACCAGGGGACCCCACTGATGCTCAGGGATGCTGGCAGCACCCGGGGACCAAAGTGATGCCAGGGGACCCCAGCAGTGCCAGGGGCTTACTTGGGGACACTGGCAGTGCCAGGGGACCCAGAAGATGGCAGGGAACCCCGGTGGTATGATGCTAAGGGGACACCAGATGACATCAAGGGACCCCCCGTGATGCTAGGGCTCCCTGGTGACATTTGGGGATCTTGGTGATGCCCCAGGAACCGTGGCAGCACCTAGGGACCCCAGTGACACCAGGAGAACCCCAGCAATGCCCAGGAGACCGTGGCAGCACCTGGGGACCAAAGTGATGCCTGGCCACCCCAGTAATACCCAGGACCCCCCTGGTGACACCCCGTCGGGCCGTGCCAGCCTACCTGAGCCCAGCTCGTAGCGGAACTCGAGGTGGCCGCCGACCATGGCGAGGGCGACGAAGTCCTCGACGGGGGCGGCTTTGCCGGCGCTGAAGAGCAGCAGCCCGTCGGGCGCCCGCGGCAGGAACTCGGCCTCCACCCGCAGCTCGTGGTGCACGTTGGTGAGGGGGGGGTACGACACGAAGGCACCCGCCCCGCCGAAGGACGGCACGCTCACCGCCTCGCCTGTGGCACCGCGCCTCAGCACCCGGCCAGTGGGGCCCGAGACCCCGGCCCCATTGTCCCCATCGTCCCCATCTCCCCGTGGTGGTCCCCAATGCCCCATCCCCATCATTCCCATCTCCTCAGGGCAGTCCCCAGCCCCAAGCCTGTGTCCCTGGGGTGGTCCCCAATGCTCCATCCCCATCGCATCCACGATGCCCACCTCCCCAGGCGGTTCCTAGTCCCCTGTCCCCACACTGCCTGTGTCCCCTCGTGCCCATCTCCCCACTGTGGTACCCAGCCCTGTGCCCATGTCCCCAGGGTGATCCCCATCCCCATTCTTGTGTCCCTACAGTGATCCCCACCCCGATGCCCATGTCCCCATGCCCATGTCCCCACTGTCATCCCATCCCTACACTTGTGTCCCCCATGTCCACCTCCCTGGGGTTGTCCCCACCCTCGTGCCCCTGTCCCCAGAGTGGTCCCATCCCCATACCCGCATCTCCAGTGTTGTCCCCACCCCTGTGCCCCTGTCCCCAGAGGGCTCCCAGCCCCGTGCCCTGTCCCCAGCCGTGCTCACCTTCGGTGCACCTCTCCCCAGACTTGCCCAGGTGGCAGCGGCAGCTGTAGCCCTGCCCATCCGGCCGGTTGACGCAGGTGGC